AGGGGGGGAATACAAGGGTGCCTAAATTTTCAAAATATTAAAGTAAGTGAATATCCACGTAATTATCCACCCCTGGATAGTGAATATATCCCAGGCCTGTATTAGTCCCTGCAGGTGCAACTTTATTTTCTCTAAATGTGTCGCAAAGTTTTGTTGTTAACATTCTAATTCGCAGGGCAGACATGAAGACGTGGCCTGCATTTGTACTTTTAGTAATTCTAAAATCCTCAAAATATACATTCATGACTATCAAATACACAGTTGCTGTAGTATTGTTCTATAAATTCTTAATTTCTTAATTGATAACTTTTAAAAGTATGTTTTCATATAAATTGTCAATAACGACCGATGGTTGACGATATTGTTAATGTTTTCTTAATGAAATTTTTCCTAGAGAAACTTTAAAATGATTTTTCTGACAATTTACTTACTTCTACCCCATAGATTAAAATCTTAAATGACGTTTTATGTATGCATTCTAAAACATATATTGATGGGTCTCTTATTAAGTTTCCCTCCCCCCTCCCTAATTCAGTGTTGGAGTAGGGGGGGGGGGTGAAAGTTTATCCTCGCCTTGTATTCCATGCATAATATCTTTTATCCCTGCATCTGACCCAGTGTCAGTCCCCTGGTTGGATATCAGTTGGATAGCCAAAACCAGAGATATGTGACAACAAGAATCTTCTTGAGATAGAAACTTTTGTGTTCACGTTCAGCGCGAAACTCTAAAATACCCCGCCTCCCCCCCCTCATCTTCCCTAATAGTAATTTATTTTCACAAATTCAGCGAATTAAACCTTATAACAAAATTTCTACTCCGCGCATACATTTATATAATTAACTTGTGGGAAAAAAATATTTTCGAAAAGGGTGGGGGTAGGAACGATTGCACAAGAAAATCCAACGAAATTAACAAAATTTCAGAACAAAAAATCCCCAACATCTCTTTTTCTTTTTCATATTCCTTATAACAATTCTAATCAATTCTGTACACGTCTTGCATTGAAAGCATTTATTTTACTTAAATATTGGGTAGAATTATATGGGGGGGGGTTGAATTTTGAAAATATCAATATTAATATTAATAGATTTTTTAAATCAGTCTACCTGTCTTACCCTGTCTTCTCTGTCTTTCTATCTTTCTATCTATCTATCTATCTATCTATCTATCTATCTGGTTTATCCATATCTGTCTAAGAGCCCTACTCTCTTTCCACTGCCTCCTTTTTCTCTCTTAATTAAAACATCATTCACCCACCTCATCCAGAGTCATTCTTAACCTTACAGTTAACCCACATTTTGTTCTTTTTAAATTCTGACATATCAAATATTGAGATCATTCTTACCTTTTTTATGTATTTTGTATCCTTACTTTTGCATTAACTTTTATCAATAAAATGATATTTATTTCAGATCAATATCTAAACTTTTGACCAGTGATACATTTAAGTGTATTTTTATCTGAATAAAGGGAACTTTTTCAATATTTGTTGGTTTCGACGCCGGTTATGTAAGGCTTGATGCGACATGCTCAGCTAAAACGACATGTCCACGAAGACATGTCACTTCTAGTCTCAAATGTCTGTTCTGGCAAAATCCCCAGGTTACATAAGGAGTGTATACACAACTTTTTCTCAATAATGAAAATTACAAAAATTTCTATTGTTTTAAGTTTAGATTATATTATTTTTGTCAGTGACATACTTTTTGTGCGTCCTTATTAGTGTGTCCTTAATGTTTTTAAAGTGTAATATTTTTCCTCCTCAAGGTGCGTCTTCTTCTGAAAGTGATGTTGAAATATTACCGTATTCACACAGTTCTACTAATATATAATTTGCAAAATGTTAAGTTAAAAATAAATGTGATAACGTGTATACTGTGAAACTAGAAAATGGATACAAAGCACCGAAAACGCAGAAAAACCCTGCCGCCGAGAAAGTCTAATAGGTAAAACTACCTGTCACGTAAATATCCTGCTTCAAGGGTACATAACAGGGGTAAAATGTTTTACAACTGTTGAATTCCCTTCAGAGAAATAATTTGTATGTAAAAAAATTTGTCACGGCCGTTTTTTTTTACTTTTTTGGGGGTGGGGTGGGAATTCAGGGTTCAGGTATCCGTAGTAAATTAGACACATGTCGAACTATTCAAGCGTGTTTAAAACAACAGAATTTTACTTTCTTAACAATAGTAATATATGTTAGGAAGATGAACAAGGGACATTCATATTTTGGATAAGATAACAAGTGTACCGCATTTGGTGGGAGGAACGTAAACAAACTCCGTGCTGTCCAGGCCAGGTTTTGTTTATTTTTCTTCGGGAATCTGCAGTACACTCATTTAGTAAACAAAAATGTGAGGGTTCCGAATATTTTCAAGTGGGAATATGTATTGTTTAAGTAATTAGAAGTGATGAAATTAAGGATTTTAAAGGCGAGGGGGGGGGAGGGGGGTAGTACTCGTCTAGGAGTAATATAGCTGTGACGTATTAGAACAGCTCTAGATTTAGTATTATCGTAAAAACATAATCAGTTAACAATGTCGTTCTGCTTTGAAAGAAATGTGTTGTAGCAAGCGTTTTTTTTTCTTCAGTTTATATCTAGATGTACTGCAATGCTTTGTTCGCTTAAAGCGCCTCCGTGACCGTATCTCATGTTTAGCTTCTGGATAAGTGTGTGGCTGAAAAGTGTCAGAAGACATTTATTAAAATATTAGATAAACATCATATTAAAGATAGTTTTAAGTTAGATTTTAGTGACAACTCCACAATTCTAATTTTTGATAATTTGATAAGTTTGAAAATGTTTTAATGGATGGACGGAAAGTTCTGGGTCAACAGTCTTAATGAATGTTTAGATAAGAAATTTAGTTTTTGATGTTTTGAGATACATGCAAGTTCAGATCAGATAAAACGCCCAAGTTTGGACAAATTGGGCAACAAGGAAAAATATGTTTTCCTCAAAAAAGTATTCATATAACCCCCTGCCCATCATTATGTCGTTTTCTAATTGGTCAACGATGTGACTCTTCTATCTTTTCAACCAACTTTTGAATTTTCCGATGGCAAATTGAGTTAAACCATAAAAATAAATATTTCCGTCTCTGATTATTTACTAAAACATTGATATGTTCACTAAAATAAACAAAACTCAAAACGTGAAAATTTGTCAACAACCTCAGAGGATTAAATTTTATTAATGTTAAGTTACAAATAATTATTTTGTTAATATATGTCCAAATATAGAAACTCCATTCAACAAAAATAAGACCGAGGTTTCGAATGAATATATTTGAGTTGTCAAGTATCTACACTAGGTTCTTTGTTAACTAATCTCGAGAATAGGAAATGGTGAATAATTTAAATGACTAGGGGGCAGTGGCGTATATAAAGGGGGTTATTGGGGTTATTTACCCCCCCCCCCCCTAGAATTTTGGGGACATCCCCGTTTAGAAACTTGATCTGCTTTCTCCAGGTCCACGAATAGCATTGAGAGAAAAAAAGAACAACATTCTGGGCGCTTCGCGCAGATAATGTTATTTTAACAAAGTAACATTAATTTTTACTAAAAAATCGATTTTTAATGCATTAGCGTACTTGCACTTTATGTCAAATTAGGTGTAAAGCTCTTCCGGGGGGGGGGGGGGCATAAAAAGTTAATAGTTCAAGATTATCTAGTACGCAGCTGAAATTGAATGAATATGAGAATATGCCAGCAAAATAATTACTCTTCTTTTTTTCGAGAAAATGAAAATAAAAGCAAATCATCAAATTTTCTATTGGTAAAGTTATGAAAGAAGACAAACTTATAAAACTAGCCAAAAAAAAAACATTTTTGACAAAAAAGTAAAAAAACATTTTTTAGATGTTCCGAGCTCCGAGCAGGAGGAGCTGTTTATCAGAAAGCTGCGTCAGTGCTGCGTCGGATTCGATTTCATGGATCCTGTAGCAGATCTCAAGGGGAAGGAGATCAAGAGAGCCACATTGAACGAGGTTAGAAATTAGATCAAGGGTCTGAATTTATGAATTGGAAGAGGTAGATGAATCAGAAACGGAAAGTTAAACTACTTTTTACTTGAAGCCATGAGCTCACATGTGATAGCTGAACATTCATAAATAGTTCAAATACTTCTCGCTAAACATTTAATCTAAAATTGATGAATATATCCTACCAAGATGGGAAAATTTACTAGTCTAGCGAGTTAAAGTTCTGTTACAAACCCTTTTCGGAATGTATTCTCTGAACACCTTTAAATTACAATAAACATTAGCTTCATTGAATTAAAATTGGGTTCGAAATTTTAAGGCGCCTTACCTTTTGAATGAAATAGCGCTAATATACAAGGCCTTGATATACACAGGAGAAACTTTTAATCTAAAGCAATTTATCACTTATTTCGTGAATAAACAACTGACTTGTATTCTTGCGAGAGCATATTTTTCATGGCATTTATAAATATATATAACTCAATCTGCTTTGAGCAGAAAACTTAAGAACTGTGGATATTGAGATCAATGCTTGATTTTCCCTTTGTGACAGTTTCAAGTTCTTAGTTTGTATCTTTTAACGTGAATAAAATTCAATCAATAGAGTGGCGTATGCAGAATTCTGAACAGCCAATCAGAAGCTAGGAAATTTGAAAGTGTTCGCGCCATTTAACGAGAAACTCTGATTGGTCAGAATCTTGTAGGGAGTGATTAAAAAAAAAAGAGAAATATACCGGAATACGCAGGAAATAAAAAGTGTTCAGATTGAATATTCAGAATCAGATTAAGCAATCGGGATTTAGGGTATTCAATTCTAAGGTTCCCAGCTCGACTACTAGAAAGGATACGGATTAGAAAAAGATCAACATTTGAAAAGTGTCCGGCTCCAAATATCTGTATCCGTGTGATCTATATTATTGTATTCAGGTGGTAGACTATATAACGGCAGGGCGAGGTGTACTTACAGAACCAGTCTACCCAGAAATAATCAGAATGGTGAGTTTAAAGGGACTGTTCGGGAATTTTGAGTTTAAATAATTTGTATTTACTTTATTTCTGTGTCTGTGTCTTCCAAAAAAGTATTTTAAAATAAAAATAAAATTAATCTTAAATATGGTAAGCTTATACTGGCAAACCAATGCACGGTTTTACTGCAGTTTTCTGATCCGATGTTGATGAGTCTAACAAATCTCACAAATACTTAAATAGTAAATAACTATTATAGGTTCAAACTCAACACTTGTAAATTCAACAACACTCCCTTTATTTAAAGATTTAAATAGTAGACTTGGTCCCCTGACCCCCCCCCCTCTCTCAACTCCGTTCCGTGAAATTGGAGTTACCGCTTTTTGCAACCATATTTTTTTCATTCCTTATCCTTACTTTAAAGTATAATTAAAACCATCAAATTGGAAATAATATATTTTCATTTCTATTTTCTTGTTGGACGATTTTTATTGGCCCCTTGAGAGGTAGGGGAGACATGAGGGGAATATCGAGTATTCAACATTAAACACGATTTTTGCGGGAATCACAAGGGTTTGGATAAAGCTAAACTTAATTTTTAAATAATTTTATTAAGCTTTAAACCCTTAAGGGATATTTAAAACCACTTCATTCATTGTATCTACATTGTTTTACGATATAAGTCGCATGAAGTCACATGTATTCAGTTTCTACTTCACTTATTTCGCTCAGTCCCAAAACGGAATTAATCTGGTAATAAATGAATGGTCAAGATATCGTGACCAGTTAAATTAATTCCTTGCTTCTTCCATTGATTGTCTTGTATTTTCTAAGATCGGGAAATGCAACGGTTGAAGACTATTTTTTGAAAAATATTGAACTCTCTGTTTTAGATTGCGAGTAATCTGTTTCGAACCCTGCCTCCTAGTGATAATCCAGATTTTGATCCAGAGGAGGACGATCCAACCCTAGAGGCGTCCTGGCCACATTTAACGGTAATATTAGGTGTCCTGGCCACATTTAACGGTAATATTAGGTGTCCTGAGCTGAAAACTTTAGAATGGTGGATATCAGGATTAATGCTTAATCCAAACTTTTTCTTAATATCCAGATTAAATATGGCTTGTTCTCATGAATTTAATCTCCAGAAAAGTCAACAGATCGGGATTAAGGATATCACATTCTAAAGTTTTCAGCTCTGGTCACATTTAACGGTAATATTAGGTTTCCTGGCCACATATAACGGTAATATTAGGCGTCCTGGTCACATTTAACGGTAATATTAGGTGTCCTGGCCACATTTAAGTTTTCAGCTCTGGTCACATTTAACGGTAATATTAGGTTTCCTGGCCACATATAACGGTAATATTAGGCGTCCTGGTCACATTTAACGGTAATATTAGGTGTCCTGGCCACATTTAACGTTAATATCAGGTGTCCTGGTCACATTTAACGGTAATATTAGGTGTCCTGGTCACATTTAACGGTAATATTAGGTGTCCTGGTCACATTTAACGGTAATATTAGGTGTCCTGGTCACATTTAATGGTAATATAAACGTCCTGATCACATTTAACGGTAATATTAGGTGTCCTGGTCCCACATTTAATGGTAATATCACGCGTCTTTGCAACATTTAGCGGTTAAATAATAAGTCCTGGCGACATTTAACGGTAATTTAAAGCGTTCTTGTCACATTTGATGACGCGTTTCGTCCACATTTATGGTGATAGTTTATGCTACAGGCTACATGCATAAATGTTCTTCAAGTCTTTTATGAAGTGAATTGTAATGAATATCCTTCTTGAGTTTTATTCCACTGTAAATACAGTTAACAATCGTGCCTAATAAAGAATACTGCTCTTATCTTCGAATTGCTAATATTGTGATAAAATTATTACCATTTTTTTATGAAAAAACGAACATTTTTTGTCTTAAAGTTTTATATTATTGTTTGTTAAATAGTATTTACAGATGAATTGGGGCTTACATCTTATTTAGTTCAATTCCCCTTCTCAGACTTAGGGTTTCCAATCTCTTCTTGATCAATTCCGTGACGAAATGTCTGACGGAACATTTCCTGAAGATGTTAAAGGGACGGAAAACGTAAAATCTAGTGATCCTCCATGCTAAGATTACAATGGCCGATTTACAACAGTACCCATGAAACCTTTATCTGATCAGAAATTCGGAAGAAAGTCGCAAATGAAAATAAACGGTTAAAAAACAAAACATTAATATCTTATTTATACTTGATTTAAAATCCTTCAAGGGTGCCGTTGAAAATGAGTTATTGCCATCTTGACATGGAGGGTCACATAAATTACGCTTACAATCCCTTAAAGAATGCAAAACCACAGTGAACTTATGGAAATTAAGGGCGGTACCTTCCAATCAACCAATCTACGAAAGCTACACAGATGTCTAGTTGCGACATGCTTTTTCCTAATAGATTCCTTATTTGAATAATTGTTCCTAAGCGTTTTTCAGCACACACGCAGCATGCAATAGCTCCAAGCTGTGAAGATTTATATAAAAAAATTATTATTTTCTATTTTCCATAAAAGAGAACACAAGTCTTAGATTAATTACTATCTTGTGATATTGCCAAAGTACAAAGCTTGTTTCATATTAGTTTTTTTCCTACAATGAAACCCACAAAAATGTGTAACAGGAAGGCGTCATTTAAGCATTCTTGTGTGTTCGATTTTATAAAGAAAATAGATTTCCCAGTTTCTTGGAAATAAACACTTGAAATTAAATTGGTTTGATGCATTTATGTGCAATGTAGTATTTGAAATCATATCTTCAGTTTTTAGAGTTTTATCCCTATTACATTTTTACTAGCTTTACTTGCGTTCATAACTTTTCCATGTTTTTATCTTTTTTGAATTTAGTTTAATAATTTATCATTACACATTTCTGGCGAATCCGGCAAACTCAAAAAACAGTTACCCTGAAGATCTGATAACAAAAACATATCATGAAGGCAGAAAATAGTCTTAAAAAATATGTAATTATTGTTCAATCAAGATATGATTTTAATATTTATATTAATTAATTTTTTTCAGCTTGTTTATGAATTTTTCCTGCGTTTCTTGGAATCCCCGGATTTTCAACCCACCATAGGAAACCCATCACATATATATTATATATATTCGTATTTGATCGAGGAGAGAGGGGGGAGCATAACAACCTTTATTGTGAGGATATCAACCATACTAAAGCAAATCTGCGAGTCTAAACATATTTCAAATAAACGTAATAAAAAGTGTCATAGTTTCTACAATTCTAACAAAATAGAATTACTTACAGAGTAACTCAAATAGGACAACACTTTAATAACGATCCATAGTTCTACTGATAAAATAAGCACAATTTGTCATAATTGTTAGAAAACTGGCCACATATCGGGAACCATTGGGTGTAACCGACCCAGGTTAGAATATGTGATGGTGTGTGTAGGGAAGAAAGTAATTGATCAGAAGTTTGTTCTCCAACTTCTCGAACTTTTTGATTCAGAGGATCCCAGGTGGGTTGTTTACTAAACATTGTTAACGTTTATGTCCTTATACACTTCTTATCCTTCTACATTGCCTTTACTACATTTCCTGCGCTTCCATATTTCCTGCCATTATTCTTTCAAACTTTCTATCCATTCCTTCGTTTCTTTCCATTCTTCAATAAATTACTTCCTGTCCTTCCAGCCTTCGTTTACTGTTACCCTTCCTGTCTTTAATCGTTGTGTCCTTTCATCCGTCCTGTCCTTTCATCTTTTGTTTCCTTTCTGTTTTACTTCACTTTTTGTCGTTCTACATTCTCATTCTTTCCTGTCCGCTAATACTTCCGGTCTTTCTATCCTTCTTGTCCGTCCAATCTATTTAAATTTTCACTTTCTGTCCTTAAATTTGTCTGCCCTTCCATCCTTCCTGTCCTTATCTAGATTTTCTGTTTGAACTCATAAAAGCTTTGTCGAATCTAGAATTGATGAGATAACTAGATTTACTGTTTGAAAGCAAGAAGTAAATAACTCATTCATTCTAGATTCGTGTGCCGCGTTTAACGGGCTTACCGTGATTTCATGGCTAGTTGGATTTTAGGACCAGATATTTCAATCTCAGTTTACTAGTCAGAAGACATTTTCTCTCTGAAGTAAAACACTGTTATTCTCTGCAGCTGGATCAGGTCTACACTGTACAGGCTGAACAAGATGAAGAAAAGAAAGTGATTGGCAATAACTGAGCAAATATATTGCAAATAAACTGATCGATACCAACTATCCAAAACTTATCTGAAAATGAAGAAAATAGAGTAACAAATGATATAATGGAATAAATGCGGTTATATAAGTGGGTTAATCACAATTATATTGACTTCTCTCACTCTCCCTAGATCCTAGAACTTCTAGTGATGAGAAATACTTGACTGCAAATCTAGATATAGATGTAATGCAGAACAATTTGACTAAGCTTTGATGGGTACCGTTGTGTATCGGATCTGCCACTCCAGAAATGGGTAGTTTCAAGATCTCAAATATCTCAGATCTCAATAAACATGTTTTCAGAGAACGGGATTTCTTGAAAACCGTGTTACACCGAATCTACGGCAAATTCCTTGGGCTGAGAGCGTTCATCAGGAAACAAATAAATAATTTTTTCCTCAGGTCAGATTATTGGTTTATTTATTTTAATTCATTTAATTAGATATTCATTCGTTTATTTTATTTTTATTTTGACTGGTTATATATCTGTTATTTTTATTTTATTTCTTCTACTTTACTGCTTATAGAACCAATGCAAAGTAGAATTTAACATGAATATCATCTTAATATGCTAATTTAGCAAGTTTTGCACCGTTTTATGGAGCAAGGACAAAATAAACATGGTGGCGCATGAATCTACCAATTTCACAAAAACAAGAGTACCATGTATTGGGTACACTGTGTTTTCTGCACTTCTAATCACACCTTGATTGACTTAGTTATAATTCCTTGTGAGTTAAAAAAAGGTGTAATTTTTTACATTGCTTATGAATTCCTTTCCTGGTCTTAATTTTCTAGTTACAGTAAATATTTAAACACTTTGTTGGCGAATTATTTGCATGTGGCAAAATGCGCAAAAAAATTCCAGGCATGTTCTAAGTTATTGATTTAAGATGAAGGTGCTTCTGTTAATAAAGAACACACTTAAAGGAACTATCGTTGCAATATCAAGTGCGCATTTATTTGAACGTTGCAATATCAAGTGCGCATTTATTTGAACGTTGTAATATCAAGTGCGCATTTATTTGAACGTTGTAATATCAAGTGCGCATTTATTTGAACGTTGTAATATCAAGTGCGCACTTATTTGAAATGAGGTTTGTCTGATTCTTCGGTTCTTACTAAATAATGAATATTGATTATTTTCAATTGCGGTTCCTTGTAGAATTCACTTGCGGATTTATGTATCAGAGAAATTGAAGATATTTGAGAAAATTGAGATATTTTTGTAACAGAGAAACGCCGATACAATTCTTTTGTTAAACCGTGAAGGAGCCAAATGGTACCGTTGACCGTTGTGAATTGTACGTGCAACTTTAATTCAGGAACAATATGTCGTTAGTCCCTTTAAGTTTGTTTGAAAAAGTATTGACTAGAAATTAAAATCTTTCTACACGCCTGGAATATTGTCTGGACTCCTTGTGAATGGTTGCACCTATATTTGTTTATTTTGTTCTCTCCTGCATCCTTGTTTATTCCTGTAGGAAGGTGGAGACCCTCTGCAGCGGGAAAGTAAGGTAGGAAACCTTGTTTTTGGCGCCATTTTGTTTTCTCTGGTCGCCATTTTGTTTTCTCTGGTCGCCATTTTGATATCTGGCCGCGTTTTGATTTTCAGATCGCCATAATGATTTTTGGTAAACTAATATTGTTGTGTTCTGGTAAACTGATCATGATGTTTTCTGGTTAAAAGCCTTTGTTTTCTGGTAAAGTGACAATGCTTTTTTCTGGTAAACGTAGTTAAATATAGTTTTTGGTAAACTCGCTATTTTTTTTTTTGTTAAATACCCATTAAGTTTTCAGTTAACTTATCAGTGAGTTTTCTGGTGAACTAACCATTTTTTTCCAGCGGTCAATATAATTCCCTTTTCAATCCCATTTGGGATTGACAAATTTGAAAGAAATGGGGGCAAATTCTTTAATTGGGGGCAAATTTTTTTATATGATAATTTAAAAAAAAATTGGGGGCATTTTTTTTAAAAATTGGGGGCATTTTTTTCAAATTGGGGGCAATGGGGCTAATGTGCTAGTGGAATTTGAAAAAAAAATTTTAACTGGGGGCATTTTTTTTAAAAATTGGGGGCATTTTTTTTTCAAAATTGGGGGCAAAAAATGATTTAGGGATCGAGAAAATCAGCTTTTTTGGGAATTATGTTGACCCCTGTTTTTTTCTGGTAAACTGATCTTTTGTTTTCTGGTAAACTAACCTTGTTGATTTTTGTTACACTATGGCCTGGTGAATAGTGATTTCTGGTAAACTAAACCACGTGTTGTATTCTGGGCAACTAACAGTTTGTTTTCTGGTAAATTAACTATGTTGGTGTCTGGTAACAAACTGTTTTGTTAAAATGAAAATCAGAACCTGGCCTCTTTTTAGTTTACCAGTAGTTAGGAAATTTTATTTCTAACTATTTAACTTTATATTTTTTATTATTACTGTGCTAATTGATCGTACTGTTAAAAACTAAAAATCTAAATTTAAAAACAATTTTTTTTTACATTTACTGCAATGTTTTTCTTGTGTTTCTTAATTATGTATAAAACTTCTTTTTTGACACTTGCTTACGAAAACTAACAAATTCTCAAAATCGCGAGAAATAAAATTTGAACACTATTGAATTAAATGGTTTAGGATTAACATTTATAACAGTTTAAAGCAGTGCTTAGGATCCGAACTCGGATCCGTTGGATCCGCAAGATTTTGGCTCCCTGGATCCGATTCCGAAAAAATATTCGGATCCGCGGATCCGGATCCAAGGGGTAAAATATCAACCAAAAACTGCAAAACTCCTAAACCCCAAATCTGAACTTTTGAAATAGAGAGATTATAAAAATTTCCTCATTTCTGAATGGTTCATCAAGTTTTAGGATTACAATAAGCGAAAAAACAAAACAAAAAATTTGAATATTATTTTGTAAAATAATTCAGTAAATTTTAAAGAAATGACCTGGATCCGGATCCGGATTTGGATCTGGATCCATTTTTTCCAGTGCGGATCCAGGATCCGGTTCCGGATCCGCATCAAAATTAAATGGATCCTAAGCACTGGTTTAAAGTTTACAATGTAAACCTTAACAGATTAAAAATATAGCTAACGTTACTTTTTTATATAAAATATTTTTAAGTGTTGAAGTTGATAGTAAAATTTTTGAAAAATATTTGAAAACACTGAACACATGTTTGTAAGAGATCAGTTTTGAACCTTTAAGTGTTTGTTTTTAGGTTTGTTTACGAGACGGAACATTTTAACGGTGTTGGTGAACTCCTGGAGATACTCGGCTCTATCATTAACGGGTTCGCTCTTCCTCTCAAGGTACCACTTAAAGATGTAAACTACGAAGTCCATAACCACTAACCAGGACCCCCCTCCTCTAGATTTTCTGTTTGAACTCATAAAAGCTTTGTCGAATCTAGAATTGATGAGATAACTAGATTTACTGTTTGAAAGCAAGAAGTAAATAACTCATTCATTCTAGATTCGTGTGCCGCGTTTAACGGGCTTACCGTGATTTCATGGCTAGTTGGATTTTAGGACCAGATATTTCAATATTACCATAATTATAAAACGGTTTAAGCCAAACATTTCTCATGTATTCCCAGAAATGTTCTTAAAAGAGCATGAAATAACCCATTTTTTGATTAAATGTTAATAAAACCCATCAATATTCATTTAAAACAACTTTTTCTCTTAGAAGTTAAAAGCAAAATTTTAAAGTGAAAATATAAAAAGTCATGACAGTCCAACTTTGAATACTGTTGGATTTCTAACTTGACGATAGCTATCCTTGAATGAAAATTAGTTAAATCTTAATTGACCGTCACATTTTTTTATATTTAAAATATTTTGTACCTTTGAGCTTTACTAAATACTTAGCTATTCCCGAGAAACCATTTAGTAGATTATTTCTAACCATATTTTTTTTAATTCTTACAGTTTTAGTAAATTAGTTTTTTATATTTTCGAATGTTGATCTTTTCTGTGAATACTTTTTGATAATTGGTCCTGATCTCAGTTCTACAAATCATCATTTTTGTTTTAATCTAAATACTATTTTATTTTATATTTTTTTAGGCTGAGCATAAACAGTTTCTGGTGAGGGTCCTGATTCCTCTCCATAAGGTAAAACAGTCAAAAATATTTTATCCCCCCCCCCCATAGTCCCTCTACTCCATTTTCTTTTTAAAAAAACTCAATGTTAAAAATTAATTTGGGTTAAAAGTATTGAATAACAGAAGGAAACTTGTGTACAATACTTCACTCTATACTGTTATCTATTAGAATGTACTACAATATACTTGACTGTACTGTACTGCAGGTTCGATGTTTGAGTCTGTATCACGCACAGCTGGCGTACTGTGTTGTACAGTTCTTAGAGAAAGATGCCACACTTACAGAGCAGGTCGATTTTTTAAATTTAATATGAATTTATGATGTTTGTTCATTGATTCGTTCACTGCTTAACTGTTAAATTTGTTTATTGGTTCATTAGTTCATTGGTTCATTTTTTAAACAGTTCATGGATCCAAGTATTTCTTTAATTCAGTACTTCAGTTGTTCTATAGTTTTTTACTCATTAATTGAAATTTTAGGTCATCAAAGGACTTCTCAAGTTTTGGCCTAAGACATGTTCACAAAAAGAGGTGAGAGCCTATTTGATAAAATAAAGTATACCCATGCTTTTTTTCCAGTATACCCCTGTGATTTTCAATGAAAAGCACTCGCCTGATCTGCAAAGAAATTTAAACCACTGTTAAGAAAAATTAAGCCCTATAATTTTTTTTTGTTAGGTTTACCCCTGTAATTTGAAAGTTCGAAAGTATTTATTATTTTAACACCTAATGTAATATTATTTTTTATATAAAATTTTAATAGTAGAAAAACTTATCCTTTTTCTTTAATAAACTTTCAGAAGTTTAAGTAGAAAATGTTATTAGCTAAAAAATAACCTAGATAAATATTAGAACCTTAAGTAGTTTTCCGGTTATTGAAACCTTTCCATATGTTTAAAATGTTTTTTTAATTAGCTTTGATAATGTTTAAGTCTTGATAAGAGTTTCAGTGTTATAAATAATAAAAACTATTTTATATCTTTTAAAAACAGAAGGGCTTCTGTTTGATTTAGATTATTTTTTATTTGGGACGCGGTAATAATTCTGGGGTGTTTTGTATGTTTTTTTGTTTTTTCCCTTCTCGAAATTCATTTTCTAGTGGGTAAGTTTGCGGAAGGGCGCCTTAAAGTTTTTTGTTTTGTTTTATTTGCTTAAAACGGGTAAAAAAGTAAATTTGGATTATAAAGTATCTAAAAGTGTGCAATTTGATATCCAATTTTTTAATTTTTTTCAGAGCTATCCTTTCTCACGAATAGAAATGTTGAAAACAAGCCCCCCGCCTTTTCCCCTAATTTGTTGAAAATGTATTTGTTAATTTACCATAGTTCAGGTCTAGGATTATACGTTTTTCTGAAAATATAATTAATTCACGAAAAATAATTCTATTCAATGAGATGCTAACAACGTAAATCTTTATAAATCCAAAATAGTTAATTTTTAATATTCATGTTTTTTTATTACTATAAAATAGAAAAGAAAATAAAAAGACAAAGCCTTTATAACACTTTTGATTTTTAAGATTGCTCTCTATTATTACGAGAAATATTATGTTTAACAGAGATGTACTTTTTGCCTCCTTGTCATTCATTTATCGAATAGATTTGAATGAGTTTGCAAGTTGATGTCCCATTTTTATGAATAGTGATGAAAATCTTAACCGGAGAAATTTTAGAAATTTCTGGCTGAAGAAAATGCAATTTCATTTTTTTTATTTTTAACCCTTTTTTAGATACTCACCTTAAAATTTATTATGTCTAGTTTTATTTTTCTTAAAACTCCTGTTGATTAATTTTTTAGTAACTTCTTTAAATATTTTTCAATAAATGTCTAATTCTAACCCAACATCAAATATATCTTATTCACTTAATACCAACCAATGAGAATTGGGGGGGGTGAACCGATTTGTTTTTTTCGACCTAAAAATGACGTAATTTAATTAATTCGTAGCATCTCACGCTCTGCTTCAGATCCACACATTTTTGTCTTCCGGCAAGGCAAAAAGTCAATGTCGATGCTGATGCTGATGATTTTGACGATCTTGATGATAATTATTTTTCAGGTGATGTTCCTGGGAGAGATCGAGGAGATCCTGGACGTGATAGAGCCAGCACAGTTTGTCAAGATACAGGAACCTTTGTTCAGACAAATTGCTAAATGTGTTTCTAGTCCTCATTTCCAGGTATACAATACTACAGAACCTTGTTTCTGTCCTCATTTCCAGGTATACAATACTACAGAACCTTGTTTCTAGTCCTCATTTCCAGGTATACAATAATGCAGGACCTTGTTTATAGTCCTCATTTCCAGGTATGCAATACTACAGGACCTTATTTATAGTCCTCATTTCCAGGTATACAATACTACAGGACCTTGTTTATAGTCCTCATTTCCAGGTATACAATAATGCAGGACCTTGTTTATAGTCCTCATTTCCAGGTATGCAATACTACAGAACCTTGTTTATAGTCCTCATTTCCAGGTATGCAATACTACAGAACCTTGTTTATAGTCCTCATTTCCAGGTATACAATACTGCAGAACCTTGTTTATAGTCCTCATTTCCAGGTATACAATACTACAGGACCTTGTTCTATAGCTTTTACTACTTAACAATGAGTACAGTATGTCTTTGCACTCCATTTTACTATAAATAGTTTGCTGAAAGAGCTTTCTGGAACAATGAGTATATTATTTTCCTGTCTTTACTCCATTGTACTATAATAGGTTGCTGAGAGAGCTTTGTAGTTCTAGAACAATGATTACATTATGTCCCTGTACTCTATTGTACTATATTATTATAAAGATTTATTCACACACAAAGATATAAATACATATATAAATGGTGTAGTTAAAATTTGTTTAAAAAAATTTTTTTTTTTTTTTTTTTTGAAAACACAGGTTTCCAAAAGAAAAGAGAAAAAAATATGCAAAATTATGCACAAATAGAAAACAATGATTTTTACTCACTACATAACATATTTATCATTTCAGTTATTACGTAATCATCGAATCCTTCAACATATAAATTATTCATTCTNGAGCTTTGTACTTCTGGAACAATGAGTACATTATGTCCCTGTACTCTATTGTACTATATGTAGGTTGCTGAGAGAGCTTTGTACTTCTGGAACAATGAGTACATTATGTCCCTGTGCTCTATTGTACTATATGTAGGTTGCTGAGAGAGCTTTGTACTTCTGGAACAATGAGTACATTATGTCCCTGTGCTCTATTGTACTTTATGTAGGTTGCCGAGAGAGCTTTGTACTTCTGGAACAATGAGTACATAATGTCCCTGATAGAGGAAAACAACCAAGTTATTATGCCCATCATGTTTCCAGCACTCTACAGGTAACGAGGGCATTTTATTTATATCGATAAATTACAACATTTACTAAAATTGATCCTCTAGACTTAAATGTACTTAAGTCTGACAATCAGAGGCTTTTACAGGAATTTTTCCAGTGGGGAACTGGGGGGGGGGAGGGTTTTTATTGTTCTTTCTAGTGTGTGCTCAGCACCTGTTGGGGCCTGGAAAGCGTAGATTTTACTAATCCAGTGGGGCTCAGACCCCATAGCCCCACCGGCCACCACTGCATATACTCCTCTGCTGTCAAATGTAATTTCAACATTCCAGTGGCCGAATTTAAAGAATTTGAGCGGCGGTTTAAATTTAAGCCGCGGCTTAAATATGGTTGGTTCCACTTAAAATTGTATCAAATGTTTCAAGATTTAAGCCAACGCTAAATTTAAACCGGGTTTTGGCGGATTTTGGCAGATTTAAACCGCGGCTTAAATTCTTTAAATTCCATCTCAGGACCCTTTTATTTAACAATTTGGAATACCCGACCGTATATTTGGTAAATATTTGGATGATATCCTTATTAACTATTTAAATGAATTTTTAGACTCTGAAAACAACTGCAAATTTAGCCAATTTAGAGAACAAATCTGCTAATTCAGAGGGTAAACTCTACCAAGTAACAGAAGAAAATGCAATTTTAGCCAAAAAATTTGTCACTTAACTCAAATCTGCCACTTCTGCTTTTAACCCGACCTGTCACGAAAAGACCTGGGAGGAACCCTGTGTCATCCCTCCAATTGTTGACGGTTCTGAGACTGAAATATTGATATTTTCTAATTGTAGGATTAGCAAGGAGCACTGGAACCAGACTATCGTGGCCCTGGTGTACAATGTCTTGAAGACCTTCATGGAGATGAACAGCAGACTATTCGATGACCTAACGGCTTCATACAAGGCTGACAGACAAAAGTAAATTATTTGGTTTTAATTTGATTTAATGAAAAGTGAAACGTTGACAATTAGTTAAAAGGTTCTTGTACAATTTTGAGGCCCTCACTGCTTCTTAAACACGTAAAACTAACTACAACGAATTGCATCTTGTCTGCATTTGAATAATTTTAGTCATATTTTGATCTCTTAGGCAAAATCCGGCAAAAATAGCGTAAACGACCGTATAAACTAGACCGTCTACTGATTAAAATACATAGCCCAATACAAAGCATTAAGTAGCAAATACAAAAACTACAACAATATGAGAACGAATTAAAAAGCCAAGATACATTAGACTTTAAACAAGGATCTCCAGTGTACTGGGACTGTATACTTGATTTTTAATGACCCGCCATTTATAGAATATCATGTTCGATTCACAATGGTTCCCTCAAAAGCTTTGTCTTAGAGATTTTGATCCGAAGCTGAAATGTGGTTGGTTCCACGTAAATTTGTGTTCAATGTTTCAAGATTTAAGCCTGCGCTCAATTTAAACCGGTTTTTGGCGGATTAAGACGCGGCTCAAATTTATTAAATGGATAAAGGTTACATATTTTTAGGAGTTCTACATCATGTGTTATTGTGTTATATTTTAAATGAATCGAGTATTAGAACCCAATATGAAATTGTGTCTAAATTATTAATACTATTTTCTAGAAAACTCTATATCGCCAATTTGCTTTAAATTTAACATTCCTCTCATGTCTCTTAACCAGTGAGATAGAAAATACTAGAAATAGAAATAGAAATAGAAATAGAAATAGAAATAGAAATAGAAATAGAAATAGAAATAGAAATAGAAATAGAAATAGAAATAGAAATAGAAATAGAAATAGAAATAGAAATAGAAATAGAAATAGAAATAGAAATAGAAATAGAAATAGAAATAGAAATAGGAATAGGAATAGGAATAGGAATAGGAATAGGAATAGGAATAGGAATAGGAATATGAATAGGAATAGGAATAGGAATAGGAATAGGAATAGGAATAGGAATAGGAATAGGAATAGGAATAGGAATAGGAATAGGAATAGGAATAGGAATAGGAAGAGAGACGGGAGACGGGAGACGGGGCGGAAGGATTTATATTCATCATTTATATTTGTCTAAAGCAAAATTACATTAAACAGGATTAATTTGTATTTTTGTAGAATGAAGGAGCGGGAGGATTTATTTTTTATTTTTGTTGAGAGGAAAAGAAGGAACGGGAACGAGAGGATTATTTTTTTATATATTTTTTAGAGAGAAAAAGAAGGAACGGGAGGAGTGATTTTTTATTTTTCTAGAGATAAAAAGAAGGAACGGGAAAATCAATTTATTTTTAAAGAGAAAAAAATAAGGAACAAGAGGATTTAAAGAAGGAACTGGAGGAGTGATTTTTTATTTTTCTAGAGATAAAAAGAAGGAACGGGAAAATCAATTTATTTTTAAAGAGAAAAAAATAAGGAACAAGAGGATTTATTTTTATTTTTTTCTAGAGAGAAAAAGAAGGAACTGGAGTGATTTTTTATTTTTCTAGAGAGAAAAAGAAGGAACGGGAGGATTGATTTTTTAATTTTTTGAGAGAGAGAAAAAAAAGAAGGATCGGGAGGATTGTTTTTTATTTTTCTAGAGAGAAAAAGAAGGAACGGGAGGATTGATTTTTATTTTTTTAGGGAGAAAGAGAAGGAACGGGAGATTTAATTTTTTATTTCGAGAGAAAAAGAAGGAACTGGAGGATTATTATTTATATTTTTGAGAGAGAGAAAGAGAAGGAACGGGAGGATTTATTTTTATTTTTCTAGAGAGAAAAAGAAGGAACGGGAGCGGGAGGATCTCTGGAGGAAAATGCAAGATTTATCCATTCAGAACGCAAACAAAGAAGGAATCAGTTTAGGTAATAAGTATAAAAATTTGAACATTTGTTCATTGATTTTGATGCTCAAGGGGAAAGGAATGATGAATTGAATATTAAAGGGTAATTTTTTCATCGATTTTGGCACTATTTACCCCTTAAAATATATTTAGCTAAACTCTTCTAAAAAAATCGCTTCTCGCACACAAACCAAACATTTGGGGAAAATCCTGATTTTTAATTGGGATGAGAGGAGTTATAAATTAATATTTTTAAGAAAATGTACACCCCTGATTAAAAATTTTCGATTTACAATAAAAATATGCTGAGGAATCTTCCAAATCAAAGGAAAGAGTTTTAGTTTAGTTCAGTAAAGCTAAGTAAGAACCCTAACTATTGTTTTTTACAACAACCTGGCTGATCCCTGTCCCTTTGGAGAAAAATTATTGGTTTCTAAAATACTTTCTCAGAATTAAAATTTCATCTGGGTTATAAAACTTTTGTTGCTTGCATACGTTTGTGATAAATTATTGTTTATCCTTTTTTTTTAAATTTTATATTCTTTGTTTTACAATACGTGTGCATCTTTTTATTTTTTATCTATATATATTTACCTATCTATCTATTTTTTTATTTATATAACCAGTATCCATTTATTAATTTATCAATCCATTCATCTTCATATAAATATATATCTTATATTTCTTTCTATGTAGTATCTATCTATCCAAAATCTTAATATTAATCTATCTATCTATCTTTCTTTCTATTTATTTATATCTCCAAGTTTGTTATTGATCAAACTAACTAAATATTGTATCGGATGAAACCGCAAACTTTGGCAAGAAATGTCTTATCTTTGCTAAATAAATTAGTTTACTTTAAAGCCTTTTACAAGTTTGCAAAAGTTAAAATGCCAAATTAATAAAAATATTTAACTTATCTTTTCACAGAATTAAGTAGAAGTTGGTCATAAGCATGAGAAGGGGGAAAAGGACTATTCACCCTAATAATAAAGGGTTGGGAGTTAAGGAAAGAACGAAACGGATAAGGACTTGAGGTTAACCTTATTTCTATGGACTTGTCACAATTGCCACCCCCCCCCCC